ATGTTCACCTTTACCACAATCACTACTTCTGAGCAATCCCCAATTATCAAATATAAATACCCTAGTGATTACATACTGTGTCAACCTGCCTTGACTTTTATAATTAGTCAGTACTAACTGCTTGCAACCCCCTCGTCCTTTGATCATCATACAACTTGTGCTTTTGATTTTCCCCGTCATCTTCATTTTTATTGATTAATCTTTTCTATTTTCTTCTTTTGTAACGTCTGTTTTTGATATGAGCAGACACCAAAGGTCTATCCATATGACAACTTAAGAGTGGAGCTCGGAGGAGAACCTTGAGCTTGAATCTAGTTGCAGTTGAATCCACAAATGTGTTTCCTGCTTTTCTTCTAATGTATAATCAACTATAACGCTTGAAACAGCGCAAAATAAATCTTGGTTTGACGTTTGCAAACCAACAAACTTGCATTACTTTGCTTTTGTCGCTTTTCTGCTGAATCTTTTCATATCTGAGAGTTTGATTTGGGTTAGTCATAAACTTATAAGGTTAGTAGATTGACTGTCTTTTTGAGATCAAACAATTATTATTGAAATTGTTGCTTTTCCATGGTTACTACGATAAAATCTTTTCTTCACCTCTTGTTTTTGACTAATTCATGTACATGTTCAAATTAATTACATGAAATGTGGTATTGGAAATGTCATTATAAATCATAAGGGAGACTGAGAATAATCGATTATGATAAATTCTGCCTGCATTTGGTCTGAGAGGGTAGAATGATACGCAGATTTTACCATTACTAGAGACGCTGCTTTTTGAAATAAAATTCCAACTTTAGGTAAAATACAATGATGTATTTTCTTTCTTATTGATTTGAATTTTAGTGACTAGAGTTATTATACGCACCTTCCTTTTTACTACTTACATTTTTCTTCTCAAAAGTCAAACTACATGAATTTTGAGTAACATTTTAAAATGTATTTTTTGTTATATGTTTGAGTTTCAAGTTAGGTGTTCATGGATTATTTTGTAATTTTTGATTCCGTCACAAAGTAGAATGCAGTATGTTTCTGGTAAACATTGCCTCATCACTCTGACACTCCTTTCGCTTCTGCGGACAGTACAAGCTGCTGTCATGAGTTAGGGGCGGATGCAACTTGTTGATTTGAATTTATACGAACTTAATACTTTCAACACGGAATATAAATATTTTTATTTTTGGACTATAGTATAGTCGGCAGTCTCATGCCTCATTAACTTGTCACATCCAAAGTAAACCGTTAAGTCTATACAAAATCTTAGATATTTTTTTGATTGAGCTTACTCAAAGTTTCATAAACCACACAAAGTAGTATAATCTAATTAAGGTACAAAAGTCCTAGTCAATGCATTAATTTGTTTTTACTAGAAAAAAGAAGCAGAGGATATTAAAAAGACTTTTGGTTTTCAAACAAATGGGATTCCGCGTTAAATTTTAACGCATTGTTGCAACTTGAGTGAATGCGTGGTTCTTCTTTGTTTCCCCTTGTTTAGGGCTACCACCTTTAGCACATAGTCAATGAAATTGAAAGCACATCCCTTGATTAATGTCAATGTGAAATACATATATTTGGTTTTCTAATTTTGTTTTCTTCATTTTTCTTTAATTATTACGAAAATCGATCTGGAGCCAACCTTTTGATGCAACGATAGCTTTTGAAACTTGGGAATGATCGACCTATTCCTGTATATATCATTCTCCACTTAAATGTCATAGACTTAAGTTTGCTTGACTTTTTTTCTTTCTTTCTTATAAAAAAATCATAGAGGAATTCTGAGGTAAAAAATGCGACTTAAAACACAGGGTCAAAACTATACGTGGCTAATCTCTTTGAAAAATAGCCAGTGTCAAAATTCATTAAAAAGCCACTTTTAATGTAGAAACACCATGATAGTGTCATAGATTTCAAACTTAAATAAGTGAAAAATCTAGGATAATTGTAATCAGTAATCCAGGATATTGAGATGGAGATTCACTATTAAGTTTGAAATCTATATCATATCATGAGTTTCAAAAAAATGGCTATTTTTGAATTTTATCTAGATGCTAATCCTCCAATATCTGTCAATTGAGCTAATCTATAGAGGTTGTTTGCATCGTTTTTTTTTATTTTAGAACTACATAGCTAGGTAATCCTATCTCGTAATTCTCTTCCCTATTTTTTTATCCTTACAATCGATGGAGTAATATTTTTTTTAGAAAACCTATTATGAGATCATTAAACTATTAGCTCCTATACGTAATTAAGTAATTTCTTTAAACTTGTATTTAGACATTTATTATCTCACATAATACGTACTTTAAATTTTGGACTTTTGAGTCACGGGTTTAAGAATTATTGCAAGAAATAGTACTTTTTTATAACTTTATTTTTGAATATTTAATGTAAACCACATGAATTCATTATTTGTTGGTTTTCATGCATAATTAAGATACCTCAATACGTGTCTAGAAGTTCATCAAAAGTGACATTATATCTTTTTTGTCCTTCTTATATATCTGATTGATAGGAATTTGGTGATTTACAATATGCGACAAATATTAATTATATAAATAAAATGAACCTATTTAATTTGATTGAAAATGAAGTCTATAGTTATCCGATCCACGATTTGATTTTAGTAATGGGGTCAAATATTATTGGCCTTTTGCTTTTATATAATTTGAGCACCATTAGACGACTTAAAAAATAAAATAAAAATTACAACTTATTTCATGGGGAAGTGGACTTTGTGCTTAACCTATAATTTATTTATTTTTATTTTTCTAAAAAAATGTTATTACTGTTTAGGAAGGGAATGTACGAAAGTATTCTAAGTTAAAGAATTTTCCATCGCTTCAAAATTGTGAACCTATTTATAACTTTGAGTCGAAGCAGATACTGTAATATACATTTAATAAAAAAATTCAACGAAGCAGTATCACATGACACCTCTCAGCCTAAAATAAATATGTCCCTATGTAAAAGATGACATCTAATTAGCTCTAAATTCTAGTTAGTTAAAATTTTATTGTTGTTTATATTTTTTTTTAAAATCTTGTTTAGATGTGATCATGAAGAACCTAGGTATATATTAGGCTTAAATTTGGTCGAATTGTATAAATACTAAAAAAAATGTACCAACCAACTTTCATTTTGGGATTCTTTTTTTTGACCATATGATAATACGATATATAAGGACCACTACTGCGAAGAGCGGAGGCAGATCCAATGTATTGGACTATTGGTACCCATTCAAGATGAACTCAAATACTTTTGATATGATAAACATAAATTATGTGTATATAAATATTTATTAAAATTACAATAAATATTAGATAATTAATTTATAATGGTAAAATTATAACAAGTTTAATACTAAAAATCGTAAATATTGAACCCATAAAAATAATTTGTGATATCATGACTTCATAATCGCGTGACATTCTGTCTTTATATGGAATATTAATTATTAGCCCTGTTTTTGGAGCTATTATTTTTTATGTTTAGTGTTAGGTAAATTGCACTAATTTTAGTGTATAATAAACATATGTATTAATTTAGTAGCATTATAGTCAGTACGTAATTAACTATAGATGGTAAGATATATACCTATACGCATCAAAAACACATTTTTTTCCCTATCTTCTTTCTAATTAGGTTCTAATTATAATGAATGGTCATTAAATTATGGGAATTAAGGAGTTTAACTTTATTCTTAATTAACTATAGACGGTAAGATATGATGAAAATCATATATAAAGTCTTGGCTAGCCAGGGGATATAAGCTTTTACTTTTTATTCTTTGCAATATTAGAAGCCAAAAAAAATCATTTCAATTATGTGCGGTGTTTGGTTAAAGGCAAAGTTAGAAATTATAGTCTTAAATATGGCATGATATTTGTGCAGCTAATATAAAAGCACACTAATAAAAGTAAAACAAAAATGTGGAATATATCGAGAACTTTTAAAATTTATAATTTGATTTAGACATTCGAAATACAATCTGTTTCAATTAAATACCAGTGTATGATAAAGTGTTTCTATTAAACCTCTTCGACTAAAATTTAGGAAATGTTTCTATATGTATTATTTTCAGTTGTATATTACGTAAATAAGTTAATCGCTAAAAACCTCAATTAGAACAAGTCTAAGCTTTTATTACTCATATGCATAGATTTAAGGAAGGTGACATATTGATCAATGACCATTACATAGAACAAATTACAACAACAACATACTCAGTGTAATCCATAAATTGAGCACTAAGGCAGATAGAGGTAGGAATAAGGTTTGTATTCATTCTAACCTTTCTAGATCGATCTCACTTTATAAGATTACACTACAAATATATTATTATTGTTATAATTTGTTTATGTAATAAGCACTTGAGAACACAGACAAAATCTTTTCAAAAATCTGAGTTAAAAACATCTAACACAAACACTTTATCACGAGATTCAGATCTTGATACACAGGTCCGTACAGAGGTTGATGTGCAAATCATTAAGCAAAATAATGCAAGTCCCATGTGAAAACGGAAGGATAAATGTTTATTCTAAATCAAGAAATAAATAATAAATGATCAACAAAATCCACAAAATTCCAAAGTTTATAATTCATAATGGTCTTATCTCTTTTTTTTTCCCCGTTATTTGTATTAAAATTCGATCAAATTCAAATTCGCACATAGCAAAATTCATTTCTTGAGGTGGTGTTTTTTTTATTATTTCGGGACTTGCATTCAAGATCTTTAATTACTGTTGAAGAAATCTCAATTACCATTTTACCATAATCCATGTTTGTATCATAGTCTTATCTCAAGTACTTGTGTTGCTAAAGACCTTTTTTTATTTTTCTACTCGTATCCATTATTTATATTGGAGTTTGACTATATGAGTCACTTATATTCTCTTACAATTGTTATGCAATACCCCACATGGGCCACTCAATTTTCTCCATTAAAACATTTCCAAAAAATAGCCAAAAAAATCCATCATTTCCATCTATAAGTACCCTCTCATTTCATTATTCCAAATACCAAACAAACACCATTTTCACAACTTAGCCACATCCAATTGTTGAGAGAGAGTTAATTTCTTTAACTTTCAAAAAATGGCCAAGTTTGGTGCAACCTCAATTGCCCTTGTTCTCACATTGAACATTCTTTTCTTCACTATGGTTAGTTCCACTTATGTCCCATGTCCACCACCCCCACACTACAAACCACACCCCAAACCCCACCCTACCCCTACCCCCTCTACCCCCTCCACTCCCTCCACTCCCTCCACCCCCTCCACCCCATCATCAAAGGGAAAGTGCCCAAAGGACACACTAAAGCTAAATGCTTGTGCCAATTTG